TTAGTGGAAAAACAGCCGGAAGCGCTGCGCACCGCTAGCGCCCTGGTACCTCGCGGGGGACCGGTTGGCAGGGCCCAGCCTGCTCTCTGCGCGACGCGTCAGTGAGGCTGAGGCTGACGTGGCCTTCACGTCGGACCATATGTGCGCCACGTGGCGTCCAACGTAGTGCCCGTTGAGAAGGGTGTGTCTGGCGGGGGAGGGGTGGTACTAGGGTTGTGAGTGCGGTGTGTGGCGTGGAGAAGCTTAATGCCGCGGAGCGATATAGGGTCGTTTGTGATGGAGCCTGCAGCATCGACGGGCCCTGCCTCGTCTCTTTTATGGTGGGACATGGCATCACCGGCGGACATAGTTGGCGTGTATAAACAACAAATACGCGAGGCAATCGAGGTCATCCTGCAAGCCGAGGGTAAACTGCCGCTGTTGATACTGCATCAGGTTGACGACTCCATCCTTGAATGGTGGGACGTGCTGCAACAGATCGCTTCCTCATTGCCGGGCACTCTTCATGAGGAGCCAGCGACAAGTGATTTATAAGAGTGTTGTTTGCGATTGGAAGAGCTTCAACAAATCACAGCACAACAGCTGGCAGCGATCACCATTGGAAATTTGCCAGTGGATGTGTGCTGCCCTGCTGCACTGGGAGTTTGGGAGGAGACTGATGGGGGGGCGGCTCCCCCACTCCCAACGTCTTCGAACGAGATCTTTGTGGAGGGGCAAGATCTCTCTGCAGCACTGGGGGCGGAGGGTGATAACTGTAACGACCAGCTCTATATCGACGATACTAACAATGATACTGCAGTTGCTCCCACCAACAACGACAACAACAACAACAACAACAATACCAACACCAACACCAACACCACCAACAACAACAACGATAACGATAACATGATGGCTGCAAATGAAGACGATGGTGGCCGCCAGAATAACGGGAGGGTAAGTGTGTTTGGGGTTTCCTTTTTCTCCCCCCCCCCCCCTTCTCTCCCCCCCTGCCCCTTCTCCTTTGCAATTGTGTTGACGATAGGGGGGCAGGGCGAGAGGCCTGTTTGCATGCTTTGCTGAGAAAAGGTTAACCGACCCCCCATTTTTCACCTCAATTTATTGTGGCTTTGCTTAGCATCTTGGAAGGGTGGGGAGGGGGGAAAGGGGCGGGGGGGGCGCGTGAGGGGATAGGATAGAGACTAGAACTACGTTACCGTATTTGTAGGTATCCACGTGGTCATACGGTAGGTTTTGCCACGTGCCAACAGCGTAGGAGGTACTACGGTTTGCCACTGTGATAAATCTTGCCACGTGGACGGGGTTGGAGGACGGGGTGATTGGCGTTAAGTTTTTTTTGAAACTCCTCTGGGTTCTCCCACGTGGCTACTCTGGTTATAGTTTTCCTAGGATGCCTGCTCTGAATGCCCCCTCTTCTCATGGCGCAGTATGATAGATGAGTACTTCGGAGCTGGGATATGAACTCATGAATTGGTGGGTAGTCAATTCCCTCTATTGAGGGTAATGGAAGCTGTTCACCAGTTGTAAATATGTGCCTGCGTTGCTGCTCGGCTGAATTTTTGCATCCCTATTGGGGCGGCCACGTGGCATGCATATATGATTTCGTTTTTTTTAGCACAAGTTTTCCTATTCTGATTGTCCCTCCCTCTCATGGAGCTGCACGCTGTTGTTACATGTTGAGGGTTTCAGAGTAGGTGGTAAGGACCTTACAGAGTGATGGGCAGCTGACCCCTCGGGTGAGGGCAATTCAAGCTGCCTGTTAGGCTACTGCTGTGTGCTTACGTGTCAGTGCATTAATCTTTCATGTTTACAGTAGGGTGGACACGTGGCATGCTCTATATGAAATATGAATTTTGGCTGTTTCTGGGACGCTGGACCCGTTTTCCAGCAGGTGTTGCTCCCCACCAATAGATGGAGCCTCCCCGGGTACTATGCTAGTGGTGTCTGCTCCTATCAGCACCCCTAGCATCCCCTTGGGTTGTTCTTTAAAAAAAAAAGAAAAGAAAAAAAAAAGAAAAAAAGAAAAAAAGAAAAGAAAAGATGCTGATCTGCTAATGATCTCTAAAGAACAGCTAAATTCACTGTGGCAGCAATTCAAAGCCTTGTCTTCTCAGAAACTGGCCAGCGTGCTTTGGTTACAGGCGTACCTGGCAGGGGCGTCGGCGGTAAATCTGGCTGCAAAAGGTATGAAGATCTCTACCACCTGCATAAGATGCAGATGGCCTTGGGAAAACAATCGGCACCTATGCCTCACCTGTCCGGCCTCTAGCAGGATCTGGGACTGGTGGACCAGACATTGGAGGAGGATCACAAAGGATTCCTTTCAATGGACCAGAGTAGCCGAATGGATTATTTCTGGCATTCACAGGACATTGGAGGCACTTATTGCCGAATTTCTGACATTGGAGGCACTTATTGCCGAATGGATTATTTCAGGCATTCACAGGAAAGATGTCAAATCTGAGGAAGAATGGTTATACGTAGCCCAGACAATAAGGGCAATACTGATGAAAGTGATTTGGGATGACGGGAACAATCAACTGTTCAGATCATCCTACAGGTCGGATCCTCAGATCAAGAGCACGATTGCGCAGCAGATCAGACTCATGATCAGGAGTGACTGTATCAGACATAAGGTCCCGGGTTCAGCGAATTCGAGGAAATGGTTTTGGAACACCTGGGGGAGGGACTCCAGGCTTGTTATATTAGATTCTGTCGGTAGACTCGATTTTTGTCAGTCAGTGGCTATTAGCTCCGGTGGGTCATGGGGAGCGCTTTAGCTCCCCACCATAGAGTCTACGTTAACAAGCTGTTGGAGGGAGGTAGTGGACGGGTCTTCGAAGTAAAGTTGTACCTGGGTTACCCTTCTTTTTTTTTGTTTTGGAGAGCTGTTGTTTCGTTCAAAGGGACACTGGACCCGGTTTCCCGGAGCCTAAGCTGGGTAGTGGCCCCAGTCTTTTTCTCGGGATTATTGTGGGGTTTCCCGGCCCCGGTTTCCTTCGATTTGAGCAGTAAAGTTCCGTGGTTCTCCAAAAAAAAAGAAAAAAAGAAACACAACGCACCCTGATTATGAATGTATACAAGCAAGCTTTCTGGTCATGTACAGCCAAACTTAGGGTGTGTTGTGTTCGGGGGACGATGTTGGCAACTGAGAATTGGTGTCAACCAACCGGAACGACCAGACCTACTAGGCCCGTTGGCCCTACCCTCTTCCCCCGAACACAACGCGCCCTGATTATGAATGTATACAAGCAATTTTTCGGGTCGCATGCGGCCGAAATTAGGGAGCGTTGTACTCGGGGGAAGCCTGGTAGCAACTGAGAAGCGGTGGCAGTCGACCAAAATGACCAGAACTACCAGTAACCGCGGGGGCAAGGTCCCACTTGCGCAAATTAGGAGATTTCGGCCGTTGATCTTTGCGATCTACGGTCACTATCTCTTAGGTCGTGCAAGTGGGACCTAGCCCCGGCTTCCGGAGGGGTGCGGGGCAAAAAGGGGGGCAGGAACGAGGTTACCCAAAAAAAGAGTCTAGCTCAGTGGGTACACCAATGAACTGTTGAAATACAGACCAGGTGCTGTGTTCGAATCCGTATTTGAAGTCGATATAAGCGAAAATAACAATTTATAAAAAGAAAGTAAACAAAAAAATTATATTATGAGCGAAAAAGGGGGAACTCGAATCCTCAAACGCGTCCAGATTCAACGCTGCTAGGTAGTGGGACTTGGTCCCTGGTGTCACCTCTCCGAAATGACGAGAACTGCCCGTCTTCCCCCGAACACAACGCACCCTTATTTTGGCTGTATCTGGCCGGATATATAGCTTATATACATTTATTTTTAGGGTGCGTTATGTTGGGGGAAGGCGGTAGGCAGGCTATATTCTTCTCCCATTTTCACGTCTCACTACCTGCCTACGACTGCTCCTAAGCCTATACAGGGGGCCCGGGAAAGAAAAAGGCACCAGAATCATCAGTAGTGCAGTGATCCGACAGTGACACAGGTAGCAGAAAACTACACTACACGGCTGCGGAAGGAGTCCAGGGGTCTGGTCCCACCTACGGCCGTTGAGTTGAGAAACCTCAACGGTGTGACACCATTTACCGCATTTTTTAAATCCGAAAAATGCATTTCAACCCAAGAGCCTAGCTCAGTGGGTACACCATTGAACTGTTAAAATACAGACCCGTGTTCGAACCTAGATGACAGAACTTGACGAGTAAACCCAAATGTTTCTGAAATTGCCTGGGGCTGGTCAGCTCAATGATGATATCTCAAGACCGTCGCCTCCTTAAAAGAAAGAAAAAAAAAAAAAAAAAAAAAATTGCATTTCAGATTTATTCGTAGCAGTTTTTATTCATGCGAAAATACTGGTTTCTGTCGAGGATTCTGCGTATCTTCAATGTTCAAGTACCATATGGGCCTCGCTGCACTACTCTCGAAATGTGCAAAACGAGAGTGAATCTTCCCCTAGAATATGGAAAGATGCACTGCCATGATTTTTGTCTTTTGTGCATGTCGAGAGTAGTGCAGCGAGGACCCATGATGTGGAAACACGAGGACGTCGAAGTGGGTCCAAAGAGCAATGAATATAGGCAAGAACACGGAAACATACATCTACTTTCTTTTTTCTTTTGTTTGTGCATGTGGTGAGCAACGGAGCGAGGCCTTATAGAGCCCACGCACGACAGGTACGGCTTTCATTGCACTGCTGCTACCTGTGCTGGGAAATGGGGAGAATTTTTTTTTTTTGGGAGAAAATGGGGATAGGCCTTGTGCTGAGAGGAGGGGAGAAAAAAAAAGAAAAGAAAAGAAAGGAACACGGAATCGCCACAGCGTGGCGCCGCCGCTGGGCAAAGAAAAAGCGGGAGTGCGCCTCGACTCCTACTACCTACGTAGTAGGCGCGTGTGTCCACAGTGCGACTTGAAGCTGGCTGTGGGACTACTGCGCTGCTGCTACTACGTAGGCGCGTGTCTACAGTGCGACTTGAAGCTGGCTGCATGGCTGTAGGCATGCAGAGATACAGCACATCGATCACCACGTCCAAGTGGGATCTCGCTCCACTGCTCAACGCAACTTCTAAATGTATATGTGGGCGGTAATAGTCTTGATACGTTCAAGACGTTCGATTCGTACGAATGCATCTGGTCAAAATATGTCCAGATCCCTGTAGAGTGTCGAGCATGGGAGCGAGACCCATGGACTACTGGGTAGTTTGCTGCTAGCCTCGGATGGGAAGTGGGGGAAGAGGGGGAAGCGGAGGAGGAAGCGGAGGGGGAAGCGGAGGGGGAAGCGGAGGAGGAAGCGGAGGAGGGTGTGGAGAACAAGGAAACGAAGGAAGAGGAGGGTACGTAGAAGAGTGCCGTTTGCGGCGACACGACAATTGAGGTACGCCTGTGTTCCCATCCCACGTGCTACGCCAAAGAAAAATACGATAACTCCTATAGGTCGAGAAAACTACAGCATGCACTTCTTCCGTGCCATTGATCCCCCACCCCTCTTCCCTCTTCCCTCGTTTTCTTCATCATCACGTCATCACCTCCTCCCTCCTCCGCATTTCCTCATATGCTGGTCATCTTTCTCTCTTTCCCATTCCTTTCGTGCGAACCCCTGTCTTCCCGTCCACAAGCGTCGACGTCACCATCACGTCATTTTTTCTCGTCCACTTCTTCCCCCCCCCCCCCCCCCCCCCCCCCCCCCCCCCCCCCCCCCCCCCCTGATACTCAACTTTTCTCTTCCCCATTCCTTCGTCCCAACTTTCTTTCCTCTTACAGGTGTTGTTACCTCCATCACATCCTTATACTCTGCTTATCCTTCTTCCGATTCTCACTCTCCCCCTCCCTCTCTCCCTCTCTCCCTCTCTCCCTCTCTCCCTCTCTCTTCTCTCTCTCTCTCTCTCTCTCTCCCCACAAAAAAACTTTGTCTGCACTCCCTTCCCCGTTAAACAGTAGTTGTCGAGTCCGTTGACACAGTTGACACAGTTGACACAGTTGATACACTAATTAGATTGCAAACCTTCGGCAGGAACCTTGTTTGAAAATGTTAGATCTCCTGTACGTCCTTTCTGATCTTCGCCTTTCTGGTCCTCATCCTCGTCCTGGTCCTCTCCTCCTCCTCCTCCTCCTCCTCCTCCTCCTCCTCCTCTTCCTTCTCCTTCTCCTGCTCCTGCTCCTGCTCTCTTCCCGCTCCTCCCTCTGGCCCTCTTCGTTCGTTGTCCTCCTCGTGCTCCTCCTCCTCCTCGTCGTGCTGCTCTCTTCCCGCTCTTCCCTCTGGTCCTCGTCGTTCGTTGTCCTCCTCGACGGCATGTGACGTCTTTATCTCAGCTATGAGTCCGGTCGAGAAAGAAAAAAGAGATGAAAGTTCAACGAGTACGATAGCACCTCCTCCTCCTCCTCCTCCTCCTCACAAGAAAGGAAAAAAGACAAAGGAAAGAGAAAAAGGAAAGAAGAAAAAGGGTAGTACCTCCGTCCAGTCGGGCCTTCGATCCGTGATTTTTTGTTGTGGTCCCCAGTGTTGGCGGCATTGAATGGGCTTGCTGCTTCTCCCGAAGCACGTAAAACCGACATGACAGATGAAAAAAATTGTGAAGAGAACAGCTCGACTTCCTTTCCCTCTTGCCACTTCTCTTCCTCGTTCTCCGCCCCGCACTCCTCTCCTCTCCTCTCCTCCCCTCCCCTCCATTTTTTTTGTGATTTTCAATGGTGCTAGCCACTCTTTCTCTCGTTTCCTGCTCCTCGTTACGGCTTGCTCCGTGTTGCTGTTCGTACGTCTCTACGTTTCCTGGGAAGCAGTCGAGGGAAGAAAATTCGAATTGGAAAAGAAACATCGCCATCTTAAAAAAAAAAGAAAGAAGAGAAGGACATTGCGCGCGCTTTCTCTTCCTCTCCTCTCTTTGCGATTCAACTCCGTTGACGAAACGAAATGGTCATCCTGCGCACGTACTACTCCCTCGGGCGGAACAAGGGAGTAGTAACCCAGCAAGCGAGCAATCAAACGGTCGAGCAAACGGTCGAGCAAACGGATGAGCTAACGAACTAGCAAACGGATAAGCAAACGGATGAGCTAACGAACAAGCAAACGGACGAGCAAACAACCGAGCAATCAAACGGACGAGCAAACAAGCGAGCAATCAAACGGATGAGCAAACGGATGAGCAAACAAACGGATGAGCAAACGGATGAGCAAACGAACTAGCAAACGGATGAGCAAACGGATGAGCTAACGAACTAACAAACGGATGAGCTAACGAACTCGCAAACGGACGAGCAAACGGATGTGCGTTCTAGTCGGGGGAAGAACGTAGCTTCCACGTCAGATATCCATCCATCTATTACCTTGAACCCACTCTTCCACCGAATAGAACGCACTCGTGTTCGAACCATCAGCTCAGTGCACAGCACCGTCCTCCTTGTATGGACTCAGGGCATACTCACACTAGCGCTTTCCGAAATGCATCTGACCGCATTTACGGCCAGATCTTCACGAACCGAACCGCATTTACGGCCACAGCGTAGGCGAAAATGTCCTAGTGTGTGAGTATGCTTCTTAGACGCAAACTCCTCAGCACGGACTCGTTAATACCTCAGCGCGCAGCGCCCATCGTCATTGCGCTTACGGATAGGAGACCTGATCGATCGCTTTCTCCTCTCCTCTACGCCGCTGTGCCCCTAACCTCCCACAGAAGGAGCCTACGTAGCAATCAAGAAGCGCGCAGAGCTTTTGCGAACATCCCACGCACACCACCACCTTGGCGCGGAACGTCCTCCCGCTCACCGTCCAGTCCCTCCTCTCTCCCACCCTCTCCTCTTTATCCGACCGAAGCTTCTCCGCCTGTGTTCGAATCCCTCCTTTCCCCCCCCCTGTCCTCTTTATATCCGACCGAAGCGTCTCCGCCTCTGTTCGAATCTCCGCCTCTCTGCCGCCGACTTGAACCTGCGCGCCTCTCCGCCCTCCCCCTCTCCTCAGTCTCCACCTGTTCATTCAAACGCCTCCCTCTCCCTTCGTGTAGTACTGGTGTAGTACTCTACCTACGTACGCTGTGAAGAACACAACGTCCTCCACGCCGCAGGTCGCGTTGAACACCC